TTATATTTTTATCTTTGAACTCTCCAGCATCTTGTAGAGCAATGGACTCTTGGTTTTTATTTTAATGTGACTGTCTTAATGTATCCCTAATTAGCCAAGGGTGACCTTGGTCCTCTGAGCCTCCTTACTTTACCACCCGCGTGCTGGGATTACAGGTGTGCACCACCATCCTCAATTTATGCAAGGATGGTGATCAAACCTAGGGCTTTCTGCATATTCTATCAATTGAACTACATCCTAATCCACTATGGGAAATTTTCTTCATGGGGTTAGAGAAATTAGAGACCAATTTTGTGAATTGTGAATTTTGTAAATTACCAAGGTGGTAACTACAATATATCTATCTGTTCAGTGTTGGGTGTGGAGATCAGGAAAATAAACCAAGTATGTTGTATTGTTATAACCCAAAGCGGGTGGTCATTAGGAGACAGCTGTAGAAAGCAGGTATATGAATCAATCATACTGAGAACTGGGAGGGTGTAGAATATTGGAATCTGTTTCACTCTTCATATTAAAAGGTCCAATTTATGTTCAAAATAGATGTCAACACTATATAAAAGTATGAGAATTTACTGATACTTGATTCATAATGAATTAGGGAATATTTTTTCCTCTTTAATTTTTGGAAAGAGTTTCAGATACACTGCTCTCTGTTGTTATTTGGTAGGTTTTCTAGTCATTCCAAATATAGGATTTTTTCCTCTATTGGGATTTTTTTCTGTTGAAAACTTCTTTAATTACCAATTCTCTTTCATTACTATTATAATCTCTATTCTCAGCTTTTTTTATTTCCACTTATACACACACAAGTAACCTGTTCAATCTGTATAACATTATTTGTATGTATGTTTTCATGGCTGACCATTTCTTATTGGATAACCAACCGGTGTGCTCTCCCCTGGGAAAGACTATTTCTTCCATTCTTAGCATTCTTTATTTGTCTGTAGTTCTCTGTGTAGTGTTGAGGCCTCTGGGATTTCCCCATCCACTTTAGCATGTATACTGTTGTCCTTGTTTAGCTCATGAATAGGCAGTCATGTTGGTGGGACTTTTATGAGTATACAATCCTCAGCCTTCATCAAGGAAACTTCTCTTTGCATAGACAGAGACTATTACAGAAAAGCAATTAATATATTTGTCATCTCACATAGTTCAAAAAAGTTAACATGCTTGTGATAAGAACATGACTTCTGGTTTTTTAAAAAAAGCAAATGCATTAAAACATAGGCAGGAAAGAAGTTACTAGGGTAATTGGGAAAAGATGAGGACATATAAATCAAAGGCTACAAATTTGTTTTTGTGAGATGAAAAACTTTAGGAAGCTAATGTACGGTATACAAAATATAGTTAATAATATATTTGGGAGCTGTAGAGATGATTCAACAGTTAATAGCACTGGCTGCTCTTCTACAGACCTGGGTTCAGTTCCTAGTACCCACAGGGAGTTTCACACTCGTCTGAACTTCAGTTCCAGGGGATCCAACACCCTCTTCTGAACTTTGAAGGCACCAGACAAATACGTGGTACACAGACATACATACAACACACTCATACATATATAATAAAATTAAACATCTTAAAAAATATATATCTTCTACTTCTTGGGTTTTATTAATGTGAATGGGTATATGATGTATGTATTTGGATACACAAGTGCACATGGAGGATAGAGAAAAGTTTGTGGAGTCAGTTCTCTCCATGAATTTTTACCAGGATTCCAAGGATCAGATTCAGGTCATGAGACTCATATAGAAAATTTCTTTACCCAATAAGCCATCCTACCTGCTCTCCTTGATATTTTTATTGATTTGAAAATGATAGTCTTATGGGAAAAATTTGGTTTTGTTCAGCACTTCTTTAGTATTTGTTTTGTTCAATTTTTTTTAACATCCACAAACTGTGCTTTTATGTCTGACCTTAGGATGGGAAAGCAATTATGTCTTTTTTAAAAAATATAAAATAAAATGTGTTGAATTTGATTATTCTCTTCTCTGAGATCAGAATCTGGGAAAACCCCAGTAAGTTAGTTTTTGGTTATATAGTTTTTCTTGAGATTAGAACTTTTATGAAAATCTAAAAGTAGTAGAACATTTGCGATTGGATCCCCTATGTATTTCCATGCCTTATCTAATTTGCTAATTATACTTTATATTTTCCTACAGTTTCATGGGCTCCCACATTAGTTCATGATCTACACTAGCAGGTTACACCTTTGAATATTGTGTATCATTTAGAGCCAGTAGATTTCACTAAATGCCCATATTACTGACATATTATTTTAAAAGAATATTTATTTGTTGCTCATGTGTATAGGTGTGCGCCTAAGTGAGTTTATATGCACCTGCAGTAGACAGTGGAGAAAAATGGCGTTATTGGAACTACTGGAACTGAGGTTACAGGCAGGTCGTACCTACCATGTGGGTGGTAGGCAAAAAATTTCTGTCCTCTGGAAGACAGTAAGCCATTTCTCCACATATGATTTTCATATCTTCATCACTGTCAATTAAAGGAAGAAATTCCATTTTTATAGTGTATGATGGTATTATACTGATGATTTTGAGTATCTAGAATTGTATCGAATTTACACATGAATGCGCTAAAAGAATATTTGTTTACTGGTTTCTTTTTAAACATTGTGTTAATCTGGCTTTGGTAAATTTACACACAAAGTCATCTGCTATTTCTGTACTCCTCTTCTTTACCTCCTAACTCCCAAACTGGAAATATTACTAACTACACACTATCTTGCTGATCTCTGAATTGTTGAATACACAAGTACAATTCAAATAAGCCTTGTAGACAAATGTGCATAAAAGCATGATTTAAAGATTTAAAGTAGCCACAGCTTAGAAACTTCCAAATGTCCATCAGAGGCTGAGCACATGAACAAGCTGCTGGGTAACTAAGCAGGAAAACACTAGACAGCAGACAGAGCCTTGGCGAAGGCAGCAAAATAAGAGACTCTCAAAATGAATTGCTATTAGGATTGAAAGAAGCCAGATGCTTCAAAAGGTCCACACTGTGGGATGTGTGTCTCTGTGAGGATTTGACAATCAGCATTTGTGCGCAATTCCAGAAAATACAAAGAAGCCCTCATTTCCCAAAAGCGTATCTGTGTTTGCCTAGAGACAGGGAAAAGAGTGTCAGGGCGAGGGAGAGGGAAGCATTGCTAAGGGCTTGAGAACATGTTCGTAGCTGCAGTGAACACTCTAGGTGTCACTTGTCGAACCTACCCGGTGGCATATTTGAAATAGGAGCATTTTGTTGTGTATCAGAAACATCTCAATACAGCCTCAAAAAGTCAAGGGAAGAAAAACCTCCTAGAAACTCATTAAACAGCGGGGAAACAGGAAGTCCCAGGAATTGTCTGCCATTGCTGTCTCTGGAAAAAGGAGGGACTGAGGGCTGCAACACCATCAGAAGAAACTGTGTTAGAAATGGTACAAACAAGGGGCAGGATGAGAAAACCACAGCTCTGGGAAGTGAATGAACTCCAAGCAAAACTATAGGAAAGGCTCACAAAGAGAAAGCGGCTTCCAAATGAGAAATACAGACAGGCTACTAATAAGGTGTGTGTGAGGGGTGTTGATTACTTTTCTACTTCAGTGAGAAAACACCATGACCAAGAAAACTTAGGCAAGCGTTTACTAGAGCTTGCTTGCAGTTTCAGAGGGTGAATCCATGACCATCATGGTGGGGAGCATGGCAGCAGGCAGGCAGGCATGGTGCTGGAGCAGTAGCTGGGAGCTAGGATCTTGATCCATAAGCAGGAGATATGGAAAGGGCCAACTGGGGATGTGTAAGGGCAGAAAAGCAGAACAACACTACAGCTCTCTGTTCTCTGTAGCCCAGAATACCTGGGTTCTGGGGGGCTGGTAAACATTAACTGCCTGTGCAGCTGTGATTTTGTAATGACAGCATGGGTTCCTACAGAGCAGAAGAACATGGGCTCCACCAGCAGCAGTGGAACAAGAATGCCTTGTGTTGAATCATATCCCAGATTCTGCACTCAGGCCAGTGCTTGAATGACACGATACCAAAATGTTGTCAAAGGTAAAGCAGAGATGGTATGAACACCAGTTCCACAGGCGGTTGGTTACAGGCTGAATATTTAATGATATTAGTCTGCCTGCTCTCTGAGGACTTGCATGTGTAGGAGACAGATACAGAAAGTGTATTTGGTGATTGTTGCATTGAGTCCAAATTAAACTCACCTTTCAGAAGATCCCGGGACAAAGAAAAAAATAAGATACACACTCCCAAGAGAGTTCACCTCCTATCATTCTGCCTTCTGGACGATACAGGTAGACAGGAGGTAGAAAGGCTCCTCATCTGGACTGACTGAGACCTCACCACACTGTGGGAGAGTCGAGGATCTGTCTGTTAGGCAGACCCGAACCTGAAATGAACAACAACCTACAGTACTCACACTTTGGTAAGCCATGAACTGTCACTTCATAGTCTTAGACATCGGTGATGTTGCTGCAAGGATGACATGGCAGCATCAAAAGGCACCCAGTGCATTTGCACTGCAGCAAAGCATTACCTTTTGGGAAGTGTGTCCAGATGTGTCCCAGTGAGATTCTGAAAGAGAAGACAGGAAACATTCCTGACCCATACACATTCTTTGGAGCAACTGGGTAGCTCACACCTGTTGGGTGCTTTGCTTGAGGACAAAAGAACCAGGCTTTCATATGCTCATTTGCAAAAGCCTTGGACACCCTGGGGTGGGGTGGGGGATCAGTGGATCCTAAAGAAGCTCTGGTTGGGAAAAGTTCCACAGAGGGGGTTAGCTAAGTGAGTTCAGGCCAGAGAAACAGGCAGTGGCCTGGAGTGAAATGTGGCCTTGACCAAGGACTGAAGGCAGGAGGTCAGACTCCCTCTGTGCTGACATTTTGATCCTGGTCAGAGAGAAAGTTCCAGACATCCTGTGGTGCCAGAAAGAAAAGTCATTGGCTTCGAAAACCAGATGAACAAGACATCCTCAGGAGAGAGGGAGATGAGATTAATAAACAGTCTATTGTATTGGGCATTGAATGCATGCCAGGCATTGGTGAAAAACATTGGCCGCACATGACCACTTTTCATGCTCATAGATATCTCTTTGTACAGCCCAGGACTCCAAAGGTAAGGAAAAGCAAAGAGCATACAGTAACATGTCCAAGGTAAGCACCTCTCCAAAGCCATGGCCTTTGCTGCATCTGAGGTACACTGTTAAGTGATCACTCCTATAACTGCCTGTGGATATGACAGACAGGCCCAGGGACACCTGGAAGCATGCGAAGGAAGGTGAATTGGTTACCCGAGAAAAAAGAATACGGGGGAAGCTGTGACAAAACCCTCAGTCCTGATCACTCTTTGCTGTTGGTTTCAAAGCAGGGTTTGGGCAAAGGGACCGTCCTGAAGGAAACTGCCAGGATCCTTCTGGAGAGTTTCCAAAATTCCAACTTCAGGAAGGAACTCAAGTGCACAGTGGTTCCATCTTAGCCTCTATGATCCTGCCGCCAAGTCAGCTTTGTTCCCAGGTCCGTCTTCTCCATGCCCTCAGGTGGCAGGTGGTCAGCAGTGCATTAGAGCTGCCAGAACGACATGCTTCTTCATATCTTCTGTCCACCCCGAGGCTGTCATCCTTTTGTGAGCCCTGGCTGCTCAGGCAGGACCAATACCAAAGAGTCAAAGGGGTTTCCAACCTCAGGGAGGGGGTCGAGCAGGGAAGACAGAGAGAGAACAAGAGAGGAGGGTAAGAAAGAGGAAAAGAATTAGGAAGATTAGATAGTGATAGACCAAGATCTTACTTCTCACTATAGACACACCCAGAAGAGACCCAGGGTCCACTCCATGAAACACAGAACAGGGAACTGAATCTGGTTCCTCTGGAACATCAGTCAGTGCTCTTAACCACTGAGCCACCCCCAGACTCAGAAAGACAAACATGGTGTGTACTCACTCATAAGTGGATACTAGATACATAAAGCAAAGTGTAACCAGACTACAACCCACAGCTCCAGAGAAGCTAGGAAACAAGGAGGACCCTAAGAGGAACTTAAGGATCACCTTGGGAAGGGGAAGGGGAAACAGAGGAGATCTCCATGAGTAAACTGGGGATGACGGGGACAATAGAGAGGAGGCGATGGGGGATGAGAACATGAGGGAACAGGATAGTCAAGGTGGGGGAGGGATGGAGTGGGAGAGCAATGAAAGAGACACCTTGAGAGAGGGAGACATTATGGGGTAAGGGAGAAACCTGGTGCTAGGGAAATTCCCAGGAATCCACAAGTGTGACCCCAGGTTAGACAAACTAGCACTAGTGGTGAGAGTCTGAGAAATGGCCTACACTGGTAATCAGATTGGTGGATACCCTAACTGTCATCATAGAGCCTTCATCCAGTAACTGATGGAAGCAGATGCAGAGATCCACAGCCAAGCACCAGGCTGAGTTCCTGGAGTCCAGTCGAAGAGAGAAGAGGGATTCTGTGAGCAAGGGGAATCAAGATGATGATGGGTAAAGTTACAGAGACAACTGAACCAAGCTCGTGGGAACTCATGAACTTTAGACTGACAGCTGTGGAACCTGCATGGAACTGGACTAGACCCTCAAAATATGGGAGACAGTGGTGTAGCTGGTTCTGTTTGAGGGGTCCCTGGCGGTGATGAACAGGTGCATGATCCCATTGCCTATGTTTGGACACCTTGCTAGCCTTGATGGAAGGGGGAGGGGATTGGTCCTGCCTCAACTGAATGTACCAGACTTAGCTGTCCCTCCCCTCATGGGAAAACCCTATAGGAGAAACTTACCCTTTTGGAGGAGGGAAGGAGGGATGGGCCAGGGTAGGCTAGGCGGGGCAGGGAGCATGAGGAGGGATGAGGCAGGGATCTGTGGTTGGTATGTAAAATGAATAAAATAAAGAAACAGCCCAGGAGAATGAACTGCAAAGAGTCACAAAGGGGGTAGTAACTTGATTGTTTAGCTATTATCTTTTGTCATCCCACAGGACCAAAACATCTGGACTTAAAAACAAAGTGTTTTTGTTGTTGTTGTTCTGTTCTGACTGACAGGTGCCTGAGCACGTATTCTGAGACTCGCTGTAACAATCTAATTTTAAAAAGTTGTCTACTATTTCAAGAAGGTGGGAGCCCTCAGGAAGAGCAGGGCTCACAGCCGAGAGCAGTGTCATGGGATTCTCCCAGAGCTCAAGTTGGACAGGGTATTGAGAGGACAGAAGGGGGTCCTTTGGCAAGGGTTCATCATATTTCAGCCTTGCCAAGAAGTTTGCACTGAGTCAAAGTGCAACAGGCAGCCATTCTGACCATTTAAGGCCAGGCCAAGGATGTAATTATTCACCTTTACAGATGAATCTGGCCACTGAGTCGAGCTGGGAATTTGGAGGAAAGGAGTGGCCTGTTAGAAGACTATGGTGGGGATGCAGGGAACACAAGGGCAGTAGAGTTTAAGAGTTCCCCTGGCATTTGATAGTCGGTGGCCACAGAAACCGCCTAGACACGACATGGTGTCTCCAGGTACATATGCAGAGGGAGGATACGGCGATGCCTCTCCAACACTGTTTCACCTTCATCCTTGGACCAATGCTCGCTATCCATTATCCTTTGGAGAAGACTGATGGGGGAGTCACAAAGAAGAGGAAGGCACAGTGTTGTGGACTGACCCATCACTCACAAATACTGTCCGGCACTTCTGAGGTTTGGTCAGTGACTCCCTTTAAGACACTAGTGCATGCTGCCTCCTTTACTGTAAAATTCCTTGGGAATCCATGCATTAGCCCACAGACTCTGCTTCAGTCTGAACAACATACTGCAGTCTCATGGGGAAAGACTGTCAGGAGGCAGGCCCATAGCAACTTGGCTCCCTGCTTATCTTTGTGCCCTCCACATCAGCAAAACTGCCCACACACAGCAGCGAGAGAGAGAGAGAGAGAGAGAGAGAGAGAGAGAGAGAGAGAGAGAGAGAGAGAGAGAGAGAGAGATATGAGTCGGTGTGGCCCTAGACACTGCCTAGTCTGACGGATCTTCCTCCTTCCCCACACCAGTGTGAACAAGACTTGATGGGGAGAGCTGCTCACCCCTGGCCCCTCCTCCCTAGTTCCTTCCTTCTTCCCCCTGTTACACTAAGCTCCAGGCTCTATGGATGGCAGGCTCCATGTAGGTTCCACTAGCACCGGAGGCTTCTGCCATAGTGACCTGGTGCATTATAGCTCTGTCTGCTGGGCAGGTTTTCCATGCAACACTGGTAGCTCATTATCTTCAGAGAAGCCTTCCCTGGGCTCCATGGTGCTCCTCTGCAGCCTCCTGGACCTTAGAACAGTGTGCCACCAATCATCTTCTTTTGCCTCTTCCTTCATCATATTTCACGTTTTCTGACAAGTCTATGGTCACATTCTCAGTGGAGAACAATCTCGCTGAGTACAGGGACAGCCTGCCTAGAGGAGGACACCGTAGCCAACCTGGCTCTCCAGGAATCCTTGTGAATCATGAAATGAGGGGCATCAGGGGCCCTTCCTCCCATTTGAAAGGCCTGTCCTCCCTCCAGGGACACTGCACGGGGCTCTTTGTCTTTAGCCCTGTCACAGTGCTTAGTATTCTGAACACTTCTGCTTACAGGTGGGATGAGCACTCAAGAAGTGTCGAAAAGAATGTGGGACTTTATGGAGGCTGCAGAGAAATGACTGAGACAGAGTCTCCAGCTCTTGTCCTTGTCACTGTACCTGTCTCCTTACTGTGGTTGGGGATCTTAAGTCGTCACTGTACCGGTCCCGGTACTGTGGTTGGGGATCTTAAGTAGTCACTGTACCTGTCTCCTTACTGTGGTTGGGGATCTTAAGTAGTCACTGTACCGGTCCCGTTACTGTGGTTGGGGATCTTAAGGACTGTCTCCGGGACAGATTTGCAGACACTGGTGACAGTCCTCTGCAGCCGTTTCTCCAGCCATGGCACTGACATGTGTGGGTCAGTGATCTACAAAGGCAGAGTAGGAGCTTGTGGAAGCCTGGCCCTGTGGTTATCCTCCCATTGCTGTTCCTTCTCATGGGTCTCCTGCTCCCCTGAAGAGAAGATCCTCTGCTGTGGCCACACCACACCGTCTTATCATCAAGCCCCACCCAGCAATCAGGGCTTTACCCATGCTGCCCCTCTAGGATAGACACCTGACAAGGTGAGGCAAGGCTCATCTGTCCCTTCTGTCTGCCAGCATCCCACCCCAGACCACTAGGGGTTGCACCTGACTCCCAAGCCCTAGGTTCCTGACCCTTGCCTCTGCTGGTACAAGCTCTGCTAGGTGCAGAGAGCTGGGCTTTTCCAGAGGGCAGGGATCCTATATGTGTCCCAGCTTCTCAGGCAGAGATGGAAAGTCCTGCCTCATGGCCCACAGGGACTATGTCCCGTTCTCAAGTTCCTGTTGTCCTATCCTGTGTGGGTTCTGCCATTAGAGAAAGCCACATAGAAAGCCTTGTATAAACAAGGCAAACTGGGGTGCTGTGACAGGTCCATGTGATGGCATGTAATATTCCATGGCCACCATCGTCTGATCCCACAGACCTGATGGGATGCTAAGTACAAATGGCTAATAAATACTCGAAACAGTGCTCAACTTCCTCAGCCAGAGGGAAATCACATACAAAGCCTGCTGTAGCCCATCTGACCCAATTCAGAACGGCCACTGTGAAATAAACAAAGGACAAATCATAATGAGGATACAGGGAAAGGGGAACAGAGTGTGAACTCGGGGAACCATGATGGGAATGAGTGTGGCGATTCCTCACAAAACAGCCATTGAACTACCCTAGGACCCAGCTCTGCGAGTCTTGGTCACAGACACAAAAGACTCTAACTCTACACACCACAGAGATATTTGTGCATCAGACTCGGACAAACACCATTTTTTCTGCAACTGTGAATCCAAGATGCAAAACTGTGTATGGGGTGTGGTGGGGGGCGATGACACCTGTATGAAGAAATCAAGGTGACACCCGATACTTTTTGTTTGTCACTACATTTCAATAAAATAACAAAAGTTTAAAAACAGAACAACTCAGTGTTCTGGGGGGCAATTCTGCTACGTAGAGGGGCATCTTGAGTTACTGTAGTGGAGTCTAGAAGTCTTGAGGAAAGGCACCGTGGTTGGGCATTTTAATTTCTGTAACCTATCCGATGCCCTTGGTTTCTGGCCAGCATGGGACCCCTGTTTCTGAAATGGCAGTGCAGACAGACAGAAAGTTTGTTCAAACTCTTTGGGAACTAGTTCCGTCTGACAGTTTTCTTTACGTTCTACCACAGATTTGGGGGGGGGCACCCACACTTGTATGCACACTGATGTTCAAATCACTGTCTGTCATTTTGGTGACATCACCCTTTCCTTGCCCATGCTGAGTTGTGAGCAAGCCCATCCATGTATGACCTAGAGACCTTCCACCCTATGGCCCTGCAGACTTTAGGTCACTGGTAGAGCACCAGTGACCATGTGGGTCCTGCCACAGCACAGATCCTGGGGCACAGAGTGATTCCTTTGCTGGATCCCTTCCCTCCCGCCTAGGCATGGGGCAGTTCGACCTCCCTTTCACAACCCACTTGGCATCCCCTCTTCAACACAGCTTCCCCTGATTCCTTCCAGAACTCTGAACATCTGGTCCTCCTTTCTGGACTCGGGACTCCAGTCCGTTTGGGTCTACACTCTGCATGTTGCCAGCTTGCCTGTGCCCTCAGCAGTTAGCTCTGTGTGCTGGCATTGCCCTCCCCACACCAGTAACATACAGAGTCCCCTTTCCACACTTCCAGCCCCTGTGCCAGAAGCCCTGGCTGGTGAGTGTGGACTCTGCATCTCACCCTCAAGAGAGATTCCAGGCCCTGTTCTCATTTGCCTTCTGGGCAGAGATGGGCACTTCTTGGTCCTAGTCAGGGACCTCAGCACCTAAAGGGCATAGGCTGAGAGTGAACAAGCACCTGGCTCTGGGCCAGGCCCTTCTCAGCTCCGGCCCCGCCCCCAGCCACCCCTCCCACTTTGACTTTCTTTAACTTACCATTGAGGGATGCTGCCCTAGAGACAAGGTGCTCTTGATTTTCACGTGCCACGTGGCAGTGGGAGTTGAGGCTCTGCAGAACCCCAGGTTCACAGTAGTCCAGGGGCTGGGGCACAATCATGGAGAGGCTGGGGGTGGAGTAGGGTACAGTTTCCAGTCCAGGCTCTCTGCTCCCCAGGAGAAGCTGGAAGGCAGCTCATATTCCTCTGTCTTCTAGATGCCTGCATCCCCAGGGACTGGCACAGGCTCCATGTAGAGTATTTGTGGCAGGGCGTTATGAATGAGCATGTATTCTTCATTCTCTCCTTTGGAAATGTTGCCGAGTGGGGTGGGGGGTGGGAAGGGGGAGCCTACTCAGAAAATGGCTCAGCAGGCTGCGTGGGGAGCTGGGAAGACTCATGCTTTCCTGGGTGCCAGTGGTGGTGGTGACGTGAATGAGGGAGTGTGTGTGTGTGTGTGTGTGTGTGTGTGTGTGTGTGTTGTGTGAGAGAAACAGAGATAGACAGCGCATGCTCTCATGCCTCTGTGAGCCTGTGAGAGAGACATGACAGAGACACACAAGGAAACACACACACACACAACAGGAGAGAATGCTCTTGCTCCTGTGTGTATTTTGTGTGTGAGTTTGTGAGAGAGACAGAGAGACACACAGAGAAATCATGCACCCACAAATACACACAGACACTAGAGAGAATGCTCTTGCCCCCCCCTCCCGTGTGTGTGTGTGTGTGTGTGTGTGTGTGTGTG